TAAGGTCACATGGGCCTACACGGAGGTCTGAGAAAGGCCACAGCAGCAAAATTGGGCACTGGAGCAAAGAGGAGTGGTGTGGAGGCCTGGCTAAGTATTGGCCAATGAGCAGGAGTAGGGGCCAGAACTTGGAGCCCTCACCTCCCAGGTAATAGGTAGTCAGGCTCTTGTTCCACTTTGAAATGCAGGCCCCAGACTAAAGATGGCAGCGAAGCAGAGCTTCCTCATTGGTGCAGAGGTTCCCCAAGCTCCTGGGCATTCCTAAGAGCTGAAGTTTGCCTCCTTTCTTCTCATGGCTCATGTTATAGCCATTCACTCCAGAAAACCTGGCATGTCATAGTCTGTTCAAGGCTGTGCTCCGTAGAGTAATGATGCCTCCAGCTATGCAAGGCTTTGGGCCCACCCTCCCTACTGCCCGCAAGGGCTAAGGGGATTCCTTCCCTGTGCTCCTGCCTGCTCGCCAATGTGCCTTTATTAGTTTGGTGGAGAAACCTGGATAGGCAGGAGGCATAAGTCCAGCCACAGAAACCCTGTGCAGGTGAGGCTGGGGGATGTATGAGTCTTGCATTGGTGAGTGACTCAGACACAGAAGAGCTTTGGGTGACAAGCACTAGGACATAGCACTGGAGGAGGTGGGAGGTGGGACAGGGAGAATACAAAAGTTGTCATTCAAATAGTATCCCCATCCTGTCCTAATGTCTGTCTTCCCTAGTGCCCAGTGTGGGCAGCTCTTCACCGATGGGGATCATTGTGGCTGTGGTCACTGGGATTGCTGTAGCGGCCATTGTTGCTGCTGCAGTGGCCTTGATCTACTGCAGGAAAAAGCGGATTTCAGGTTTGTAGCTCCTCCCATTCCCTTTTGTTATCAGTTTCCACTTGGTCCAGACCCTAACCCCAGACATTGCCAGAATCCCTCTCTTAGGGCTAGATACGCATTCAGATCTAGGCCCACATTTTATTTATTAGTTCATTTATTAGTTCATCCTCAGCAAGAGCACTAAGAGGACTCACCTCACAGGATTGCCATGGGGATGAAAGAGGCTGACGCTCTTACACCAGTGCCTGTCAGGCAGTAACAGCACACAAGCAGGGCTGTTGCCATTCTGGAGGAGGTGGTGTGTGACGGCAGCGCTTAGCTAGGGAAGGAGGGCTCTCCAGGCACCGGGCCAAGGCAGGGATTGAAGCTGGGTAGGGCTCATATGGGTGTGGAGGGAGGACTAGAGAGGGTGCGACAAGCCGCTGAGAAAGAGAAATAATCCCACTAACACCTCACAAAGCACTTTGCAATTGGTTCATAACCAGGACCTCAATTACTGATGATAATACAGAGAAAGAGAGAGAGACTGAGACACAGAGGTGTTTTTAAAAGGCATAGCAAGCTTCAGACAGATGCCATGAGTGGCCTTTCTGACACTCCTGGGCGTCCCCATGCACCGGTGAGCTGAGCTCTGCCTCTGGACCAGCGCTTTTCCAGGCGAAAGCAGCCCCTGAGCAGGGGAGCTGGGGGTGGGAGGACGGGAAGCATCTGCCAGAGGGAAGGCCTGAACTGGTCCCATCCAACCCTGGCCCTGGTCCTTGGTCCTGAGGACTCAGGCCCCACCCCCTAATCCTACTAACCTCCTGTGTGCCCCTCCCAGCTCTCCCAGGAAACCCTGAGTGCAGGGAAATGGGAGAGACCCTCCCTGAGAAACCAGGTGAGTACAGGGTTGTCTCAGGGATTCAGTGATGGCTCACCAGGGCTGCCCGCTGGACCAGAGCCAGCCAGAAGGGGCTTGTGCGAGTTCAGCTGGGAGCCAGGGAGGGAGCAGCGGTGAGGGGATGGCCGGGGCTCAAATCACTTGGTCAGCTCTGAGTCTAACTCCTGGGCCTAAAGAGGACCTCTCTGGAGATGAGAAGAAAAACACCAGTCCCGGATACAGAGGAGAGGGCTGTGTCCGAATTTCTGGGATCAGGAATCTGGGGATATTTCCAGAGCAGGAAATCAGAAATACTTTGGTCTTTCTGTGGAACTTTGGTGGAGCTGGCAAGGATAGGGCTAGGGGCTGTAAGGCTGAGGCCAATCGGATGTGGGAGGCAGGAGTCTAAGGGGAAAAGAGGAGGAGGCCTGGAAACCCCTTGATTTGCTGAGGAATCTGTCTCTGTGGAGGGATGGGGTGGAGTGGCCAGGCTCAGCTGTCTGTGGAATGCTAAGAGGAGGTTTGGGCTCGAGAAAATTCCTGGGGACTAGGGGCACTAGTGGGCTCTACTCTGTGGGCAAAGCTTGGTTCCAATGCCCATGCACTCAAGGTTGATTGAATTTTGGCCTGGTTCTGCCCCCATCACACAGTGGAGCCTTGAGCCAGACAGTCTCCCTGATGGGGTTCAGTCTGCTCACTGAGGAAATGAGTGGGTGACTGGGGTGACCTCTAGGCCTTCTAGGTCTGACATTCTGAGAGCCAGGGGCCACTCAAACCCTGGCCTAGGTGGGAGTATGTAAAGGAACTTCCAGGAGGATGCCAGGCAACTTCCAGGGCTTTCTCTGGGGGCTTCCATGACAGTAGGAACAGGCAGGAAAAAGAGGCTGTCAAAGACCCCAACTCAGATGGCTGGAGTATGATTCAGAGCAGAGCCAACAGATTTGAGAGCTTGAGCAAACTATCACTCGTCCCGCTGTGCTGGCCAGGCCCAGTGGGGACAGGGGCCTGTGTTCACACCAGGGCCAAAGCAGATCTGTTAAAAACAAAGTCCGAGCAACTGGATTATCCGTCTTGTTGTGTGGTTCTGTCTCCACTGGCATAAGCACATTTCACAAGGCATTTTTGCAGCCAGGCACTGGGGCTGATGATTTCCCAAAAGGTAAAGCTGGGTTACTGGGATTCTTGGGAAATGCATTAGAATGGGAATTCAGAATGTGGTTTGCTGCAGAATTTACAGCATGGCAATAAAGGCTCTTGGTGTTCAGGGAGTGAGAGAAGAGACTAGATGCACTGTCTCAGATGCCTCCCGACTTCCTGAGAAATGCCACTTTGCAGATACTGGGGCTACTTTTCACACTGGCTAAGTCAGTTCATAGCAAAATATGAGGGAATTCAGTGTGTTTCAGACATAAACCAGAGAAAGTCCTTCCTTCCTTTCTTCTTCCCTCCCTCCCTTCCTCCCTTTCTCACTCACTTTCTCTTCCTTTTTAATGCCACGGAGTACCATATTTTTCAAAGTTCCAACAAAGATGCACTACATTTAGACAATGTGAAAATGGCCCTCAGCCTTCTCTTCCTGAAGTCTGTGGCCAGCAAAAATCTGGACTTTACTTCACTCTGATGCTGAACACTTCCCCTACCCCACCTCTTCCCCAATATCTCAGATCCCAAGGCTCCCTGGTTTGCTTCTAGGAAAGCTCAGCAATTCCCTGAAAAGAGTGCAGCTCAAGTGACTGCTTCACTTTTTCACCATGGCCCATGGGGAAGGCTGTGGCTGGGCTACCCCACGCGTGGATCAATAAGGCCGTATTTACCCAGTGCTTGGCCTAGAGATCCAAGACAGGGTCAGCAGTGCTTGCTTTGGCTCTAGCTTGGGCGTTGGTTTTGCAGCCTCAGCATCAGCACAGGCAGGCCCTCTTCTCCGGCAGTGCTCTGGCTGATATTTCTTCTTTTTGCCCACAGCCAATCCCACTAATCCTGACGAGGCTGACAAAGTTGGGGTGAGTAATCCCAGTTATCTCCCCCTCCCTTCTCCCCTTTTGCCTTCTCTGTTGCCTTCTTTCCTAGGCCCTCTCTGTGGATCCTCACTGCTGGTCTCTGCTTTCTCTAGGCTGAGAACACAATCACCTATTCACTTCTCATGCATCCGGATGCTCTGGAAGAGCCTGATGACCAAAACCGTGTTTAGTCTCCATTGTCTTGCCTTGGGATTTGAGAAGAAAATCAGAGAAGGAAAGATCTGATAGTTTCTGGCCTAAATTCCCCTTGGGGAGGAGAAGGAGATGCTGCAGTTCCAAAAAAGAAGGTCCCTTCCAGAGTCATCTACCTGAGTCCTGAAGCTCCCTGTCCTGAAAACCACGGACAATATGGCCCCAAATGACCGACTGCACCTTCTGTGCTTCAGCCCTTCTTGACATCAAGACTCTTCGTTCCACATCCACACAGCCAATACAATTAATCAAACCACTGTTATTAATAGATCATAGCAACTTGGGAAATGCTTATGTTACAGGTTACATGAGAACAATCATGTAAATCTATATGATTTCAGAAATGTTAAAATAGACTAACCTCTACTAGCACATTAAAAGTGATTGTTTCTGGGTGATAAAATTATTGATGATTTTAATTTTCTTTATTTTTCTATAAAGATCATATATTACTTTTATGATAAAACGTTATGAAAATAACATTCTGTTTACCTTTTCAAGGCTGTATTGGTTTGAGTGTAGATTGAATTGCGTGGGGTCTGTTTCTTTTCAGTGATGAGACTCTTAGGAAGGCAGGAACGGATAGGATGTGGGGGAAAGGAGAGATGGGGATTTGGAATGTAGAGTTAGTGCCCCTTTTCTTAAAACTGAATACAGTCATGCACCACATAACGATTTTTAGTTCAACAACAAACTGCATATATGATGGTGGTCCCATAAAATTATAATGCTATATTTCTACTATGCCTTTTCTATTCCTATGTTTAGATATATGAGTACTTACCGTTGTGTTACAGTTGCCTAAAGTATTCAGTACAGTAGCATGCTGTACAGGTTTGTAGCCTAGGGGCAATAGGCTATGCCATACAGCCTAGGTGTGTAGTAGGCCACACCATGTAGGTTTGTATAAGTACCTGCTATAATGTTCACACAACAAAATTGCCTGCATTTCTCAAAATGTGTCCCCATATTTCAGCAATGCATGACTGTACTCTTCTGCCAATAACCTTGTATTCTTGTTTCCATGTCTTCTTCTGTTTCCTCCTATGGCAAATAAAACACTGTTTTGCAACACAAGTTCACAGGAAGTCAAACTTGAGATGAGCCCTCAGTGGAGATTGCTGACATGTCCTGCTCCGCTATTCTCCCAATGTAATTACCAGAAGGATGTGACCTTCTCCGAGAAGTCATCCCAGGCAGATTAGAAACATGACTGGCAGTCTCCTTGAGGGTTTGGAGAGTGCCCTTGGAGAGGCTTCATTTTCCTGGGACTCTAACACAGTATCATTGTGCAACATTTGTTGCACTTTTTATGGTAGGATAAAAAGTACTCACTTTTTATGGTCCCACAATCAGATTTCATACACACTTATTGTTTTAGTAATAAGGGATAATAATTAAAATTACTGCATTATTAAGGGCTTACTTTGTGCCGAACTCTATGCTTTAGAAATTAGAGAATTTACAATTAGCCTTTTATATTTCCTCTTTTGTGAGTTTCCTGTGAGTTTATTCTTTGCCTATTTTTGTAGATACAATGTATGTCCCTTTATTTATAAATTGCATAGTAGTAACTTATTTCCTTTTATTTGTATGTAAATTATTTCACGACACTAATAATATATTCTTTTTATAAAATTAAGATACAGCTAGGCAAAACAAAAAAATTAGGTCGCCCATAAAGCCATAAACCAGAAATAACTAATGCTAGCATTTAAGGATATCAATCCACATTCCTGTCTGAGGCAGTGTGTATTTGTATTTTAAGAATTGGATCTAATCCCAGCTACTTGGGAGGCTGAGACAGGAGAATCGCTTGAACCCAGGAAGCAGAGGTTGCAGTGAGCCAAGATTGCACCCCTGCACTTCAGCCTGGGCAGCAAGAGTGAAACTCCATCTCAAAAAAAAAAAAAAATTGGATCATATCGTATATTTTTACATATTCATAAATACACTCAGGCAAAAACGTATGCTCATTGTAAGCATGTAAGCCCAAATAATACAGAAAGATAAGGAGTAAAAAGTAGAAGCCCTTTTCTTTCTTTCTTTCTTTCTTTTTTTTAAAGAGATGGTGTTGTAGCCCAGGCTGGGGTGCAGTGTCAGGATCATAGCTCACTGCAGCCTCAAACTCCTGGACTCAAGTGATCTTCCCACCTCAGCCTTCCCAGTAGCTGGGACTACCACACCTGGCTAATTTTTAAGAATTTTTTGGCCGGGCACGGTGGCTCATGCCTGTAATCCCAGCACTTTGGGAGGCCGAGGCGGGCAGATCACGATGTCAGGAGATGGAGACCATCCTGGCTAACACGGTGAAACCCCGTCTCCACCAAAAAAAAAAATACAAAAAAAAAAAAAAAAGGCCGGGCTCAGTGACTCACGCCTGTAATCCCAGCACTTTGGGAGGCTGAGGCGGGCGGATCGCGAGGTCAGGAGATCGAGACCATCTGATGAACACGGTGAAACCCTGTCTCTACCAAAAACACAAAAAATTAGCCGGGCGTGGTGGTGGGCACCTGTAGTCCCAGCTACTCGGCAGGAGAATGGAGTGAACCCGGGAGGCGGAGGTTGCAGTGAGTCGAGATCGCACCACTGCACTCCAGCCTGGGCGACAGATAGAGACTCCGTCTCAAAAAAATAAAAAAAAAATACACACACACACACAAAATTAGCCGGGCTTGGTGGCGGGCGCCTGTATCACAGCTACTTGGGAGACTGAGGCAGGAGAATGGCGTGAACCCGGGAGGCAGAGTTTGCAGTGAGCCAAGATCACGCCACTGCACTCCAACCTGGGGAACAGAGCAAGACTCCCTCTCAAAAAAAATAATAAAAATAAAAAAATTTTTTTGGCTGGGTAAGGTGGCTCATGCCTGTAATCCCAGTGCTTTGGGAGGCCAAGGTGGGTGGATCACCTGAGGTCAGGAGTTTGAGACCAGCCTGGCCAACATGGTGAAACTCCCGTCTCTACTGAAAATACAAAAATTAGCTGGGCGTAGAGGCTCATGACTGTTTAGTCCCAGTTACTTGGGAGGCTGAGGCATGAAAATCGCTTGAACCTGGGAGGCGAAGGTTGCAGTGAGCCGAGATCATGCCATTGCACTCGAGCCTGGGGAACAGAGTGAGACTCAGTCTCGAAACAAAACAAAACAAAACAAAAAAGTTTGTAGAGACGGGGTTTTGCTATGTTGCCTAGGCTGATCTCAAACTCTGAGCCTCAGGTGATCCTCCCCACTTAGCCTCCCAAAGTGGTGGGATTACAGGTGTGAGCCACTGTACCTGGCCCTGACATGCTATTTAAAGTCTGAAACTTGACTCCTGATCCCCAGGGTCAGTTTCTTTACTGATAGTTTTTCAATAAGCCTAGCCATTTAGATAGTTGGCTTGACTACATAGCCAGAGGGGGCATAAAAATCCCTCTGGGAACTTCTGCTTTGAGCTCTCCCATAGCCAAGATTCCTTGCATGGATCTCGGTGGTTTAATCCTGACAAAAAGCGCAAATAAGGTACAGTAACTATAAGGATGCTAGGGAGCTTGCACATGGAATCTCTTGGACTCCCAGTAATTGCCTAGACTCTCTTTCTCTTGCTATATTTTTAAATAAGCACTTTGTGTGAGCATGCTCAGTAGAGTTTGATGAGTTCTTTCAAATATCCTCTTCAGCAAGGACATCCCTGTCTACACTTCCCCTACTGCTATTCCTCTGCTCTTATTTCCTTCATGGTATCTATCACTGTATGTAATTATCTTATGCATTTTTTTTTTGCTTAAATATTTACTTACATGTTCTAAAATGTAAGCTCACTCCGGGCAGGGTGTTTGTATTATTCACTGGTGTATTCCAGAGACTATAACAATGCAATCACTATTGATTGAATGAGTTAATGAATGAAATCATATTATATTTATCTAAAACTCTTAAATGCTTTAAATAGATCTTTACTATATTTGGAGATTATTTTTGGACTTGGTGTAAGATGAGAACCTAACATAATTTTTCCACATGAAAGTCAGTTGTTCCAATCCCATTTGTTGAACAGTTTAATGATTTGAAATCCTAATTTATCACCTAAATTCCCACTCATAGGTCTATTTTTAGCCTCTCTTCTATTACATTGTTCTATTTATCTATTTCTGCATCAATACCACATTTTTAGTTATTGCAACTTTATAGTGTGCTTTGATATATAGAAGGTCAAGTTTTCTCTCATTCTTCTGTTTCAAGGTTTTCTTGGCTACTACTGTGCTGCTTCTCTTCCAGATGTACTTAAGAATTCCATAACACTATTATGATATTGGTAGAACTGCACTGCATTTATAGATTATCTGGGTAAAGTTTGACATCTGTGTCATATTGAGGCTTCCCAAGTTACAACTCTTCATTCATTCAGACTTACAGAATTTTCCTATAATATCGTATGAGCTTGGTACATTTTTTGTGATAGATCTTTGACAAACTTTTTTTTTCTGTCATTTTTGGTCTGGTTAGGATCTTCTATCTCTCTTGGGAGTCAATTTTGAAAACTTTTGCTTTCCTAGGATTCATCCATTTTATTGGTATGCAGCAGTAAATCACACTTTTTCCCTATTTTTTGGTAATAAGTTGTGTGTTTGTGTTTATGTCCCTCCTCTCATTCCTAGGTTTTGGGTTTTCTTTCTTTTATCAGTTAGGATGACTTCAGTTGGAAATAACAGGAAATTGTGATTCAAATTGGCTTAAACATTAAGGAAATGTATTATCTCACATAACAAAAAGTCCAGAGACAGTTTCTAGCACATCAGAACTCTTGGTCCACTTTTCTACAATTCTGTGAGCACTGCCCTTGAGCTAGCAGCAAGATGATTAGTGATTTGAGGCAGCATCATACCCAGACCGCTATAGAAAGAAAAGGACTATCTCTTTCATGTGTACCTTTTTATTTTTTATTTTTATTTTTATTTTGAGACAGAGTTGCAGTGGCGCGATTTCCATTCACTGCAATCTCCACCTTCTGGGTTCAAGCAATTTTCCTGCCTCAGCCTCCTGGGTAGCTGGGATTAAGGTATGCGCCACCACGCCCAGCTAATTTTTGTATCTTTTAGTAGAGACAGGGTTTTACCATGTTGGCCAGGCTGGTCTTAAACTTCTGACCTCAGGTGATCCACCTGCCTTGGCCTCCCAAAGCGCTGGGATTATAGGCATGAGCCACTGTGCCTGGCCTTGTGTCTCTTTTTGACAACGAGGAAAATTTTCTCGGAAGTTCTTCAACCATCTTCCTGTAATATCATATTGGTCAGGACTGGGTCACATGCTCATTCTTAAATCCATCATGGGAAAGGGGACTGAGATGACCGTAATTCACTTAGCTTAATCATTTGGAGAGTCAACCATCTTGACACTATCTCTCTGTTCATCCTAATCAGACTTACCAAAGGTTTGCTTTATTAGTCTTGTCACAGCTTTTGACTTCTGGCTCAAGTACTTTTGCTTGTTTTCTAATGTATTATTTCTTTCTTAGATTTCATTTATATTTACTGTATTGTTAATTTCTAAACTTCCTGTTTTGAAACAGATTCACAAAAGGCTATACCTTTTCCTCTTCTGCCATTTTCGTCACACCCATTAGATTTTGAGATGTATGTATCCCTGTCATTGTTGTTTCTAAATCTGTAACTTTAGTTTTACTTTCTTCTTAACCCAAAGTTTATTTGGAAGGGTGTTTTGTTGTGTTTGTTTTGTTCAAGACAAATGAGCACTACCTTTTTTGCCTTTTTTGTTTTCTATTTTATTGTGGGACGGTCGGTAAATGTGGTCTGTATGATTTTTCTGTATGTGAATATCTTTAAGTATATGTACGAAGACAATGTTTTCTTTCATTTAAAATAAAGCTTTGTTTTTTTATTATAGCAACACACACGCTTAGTTTATATTGTATAAGAGAATAGAAGGCATATAACAAGAAATAGCTGTTTATTGCCCCTTCCCTCACATCTCAGCTCTGCTTCTCAGAGGCAACCATGTTCAATTATTTCAACTATGTCTTCTGCTAATTTACCTCCATATTTCCAAACAATACAATATGCTGCTATTTCTCAATTT